GACAGTGATGGATTTCGAGAGTATGTTGCCATCAATAAATCTTACCTCGTGTTTTGAGGAATTAGTGAACCTGTTATGTGAGTTACATCCAAAAGCATACGAACACAGAAAAGATTTAGAGATAATGGTTGATCTGATATGCTTTCAGTCGTTTTTCAGTTTCCAAGGTAAAGTTTATAAGCAGTTAAGGGGTGTCCCGATGGGCAGCCCGATGTCTGGCCTGCTCTGTGAGAAAAATAGAACGCATGACGCTTATCAACTATAATGAATACATAATCATGTACAAAAGATATGTAGATGATGTTCTAATTATTTGGAAGAATGACGCAATGATAAAACGATTCTTAGGCCAAGTGAACTCTAACCAACATGGCTTAAAACTTAACCTGGAGCAAATTAGTAACAAGGAGCTACACTTCTTGGACGTCAGCATTGAATTTAAGAATGGAACTACATCAAGCCCACGCATGATTCCATGTATATTCCGGCAAATTCTAATGACCCAACGGTTTATAAACTATTTGCATTTAGGGCACTAATCAGAAGAGCGTTTCTCTATTGCTCAAATGTAATGGACACGATGAATGAGCTGTGTAGGATCAAAAAAGTTGCAAAAGAGTTAGGGTTTGGAACAAGATCTATAGAGCGTTTAATAGAACCTAGGAGCAGCTCTAAGAAGAAACCGGAGGCTGTGGGTAACTTCGCAAAGTTTACGTATAATAAATGTCTCTTCCCGATTATGAAGCAAATAGCAAAACACAAAAACACCAGTATAATATACAAAAGAGCCCCCACAGTGTATAGGTTGATTAGAAATGACAAAGAAAAAATGGATGATAATGAGCAGCCAGGTGTGTATGCAATTCCATACAAAAATGAACAGTTGGGAATTGATAAGGACTACGTAGGGGTCACTAACAGAAACCTTGGTGTGAGAATTGAAGAACACAAATACGATGTCGCAAAGAATAAGTGTGTAACAGCATTATCCAAAATGGCACAAGCGGAAGGTTCTGTTATTAAATGGGAGGATGCCAAAATCCTTGCAAAAGTGCACTCACCAACGCTCTCATCCATAACTGAAAAATGTGAAATATACAGGGCAAGTTTAACGGATAGACGTTTAAATTACAAGGATGCGACAGTGTTACCTTCATCGTGGAAATACATAGTAAGAAAAAACACGTGTAATAATACACCTGCAGAGACTCAATAGATATCTGGGATAATGTAGAAAGAATTGGTGCTTAGTATGTACGGTTAATCACCATATTTTATTTTCGTTTTTTGTGTGATATTTTAGTTTAGTATTTATCATTTATTATTTTTTTGTGGTTAAGCATGTTCTATTGGTTTAATTTAAACGTATGTTCTAATTTGGTTAATTTTGAACGTGATCGATTTTGTATTAGAGTCGAACAATGTTAAACTGAAGATGGCCCATAAATTGAGTTGAAAACGTTTGTTTTGTTTAATAAATGTATGTTCTCAGCAATAAGGTATGTTGGGTGTATCTAGAAATTCTATTTTCAAATTGGGAAACTCTTTAAATTAATAATATTGTAATTCAATGCGAAATGAAAAAAATAACATAGTCTATTGAGAAATTTCTCCAATTGATGACATTTAAATTATAATTTGTGTTTCAAATGAGTTATTTATGCTAACTGTTGCTTGTTTGCCATGTAATAAATTATAAAAATTGCTTCTTAGCACTAATTACATAAAGGTATTTATATCACATTCATAAATGTCATTTTCAGGCCTGAAAGTTTCTCTTTCCTTCCACCAAAAATTTTGATGTTCTCTGTTACTCACGTTCGAATTTTTTGGTGGATATGTTACTGTAAATGCTCGAACTATGGTAAATCCTAAGATCTTCCAGTAAAACCTAAGATTTGCGAAATCTTTGTGGTAAAAGTCTGAAATGTTCTGTGATCATCGTAAATTTCGAACTTTTACTAGCATTTACTCGGTATATCTTAGGTTTTACCTCAGAGACATGGTAAATGTTGAAAAAATAGTCCCCGCTACCTGCACCGCCACCTTCACTCACCGCATTCCATCGTTTGACACGTTAACTCTAATCCTGTTTGGGATTTCGCTGTCTAAAAGTTATTTATGAATCAAGATGAGTGTGAAACAGAGATTTTATGAAATAATGGACGAGCTCGTGGAAAGGAAGAAAGATAATAACTTTTATCTCAATAGGGACAAATACGCAGTGTTTGGAGGAAATAAAAGCTGCAAAGAATATGAAAAAAAAACTAGCTGTTCATTACAGGCGTATAAAGTGTTACGACATTTTGACTATAGGCAGCGAAGAAAAACTAATTACGCCTATGAAGGAGGAGAATAAAGAAATAAGGTATTACATTTGTTATAAGGACTTATTCAACATTCTCGAAGAAATGCATGTTGCTGTTAGCCACGGTAAAAAACACGGATGCTTAAGGAATGTAACTGCAAGCATAAAAATGTAATGGTTGAGGCTACTATGACATATTTGAAGCTATGTCAACCTTGCCAAAAGAAACAGAAGACTGAAAAAGGGCATTGTCATCAAACCTATACTTCACAGTGAAATGAAGTCACGCTGTCAGGTTGATCTAATATACCTACAAACTACCTCAGATGGAAATTATAAATTCATTTTAGTTTACCAAGACCATCTTACCAAATCTGTGATCCTTCGTGCGTTTCAAACTAAACACTCCGTAGAAGTTGCATACCATCTTCTCGATATTTTCACCACTTTTGGAGCGCCGAGCAATCTTTATTCCGATAATGGTTGAGAATTCTCTAACCAAGTTATTGAGAATTTATGTTCCATGTGGCTGGATGTAAAAATCGTACATGGAAAGGCAAGACATAGCCAAAATCAAGGATCAGTGGAGCCTACTAATCAAGACATAGAAAATATATTGAGCACATGGATGGAAACCAATCAGTTATCAAAGTGGTCAGAGGGTTTAAGATCCATCCAGGCAATGAAAAATAGAGCATATCACAAGAGAATCAAATGTCTCCCCTACGAAGCAATGTTTGGTTGTCCAATGAAAATGGGCCTTGCAACTTTAGCAATCCCTAGTGATATGATTAATGTTATAAGATTTGAAAAATATTTAGAGAAGTTGTTGCATTCGTGTGACAATGCGGAACAAAATAATGACATTGAAAATGCAATCGAACAAGACAAGGAAGGAAACATCGTTGAAAATGAGACAGAAGGGGATAATTATAGACAATTGAACTGTCAACGATAAAACACAAGAAGATGAAATGATTATTACTGAGAAGATGAAGATGAAGCAGAGAGATACCGATTCAGAGACAGAAAACATGATTGAGTCTCAGGAAGGTCTTGTAACTATAGAGCCAATACCAAAAAAGAATCTATAGTGACTATAAGAAACAATGCAAAATTGAGTTTGGAGAAACAAACTGAAAAATGAAAGCCAAGTCTGTTGATAAATATCCATATGTGAAAATTGGCCAAAATGTATGACTGAAATTGCCTGAAATTGAATGAAAGCTAAAACCGACCCGAAAAACGTTATTGCAATTGTAGTAGATGTAAAGGACAACGAGTTTTACCAACTAGGTACCAAAATTGGAGTACTAAAGCAGCTTTATACACAAAATCAGTTTACCTTATGCCCTGAAGACTTTATCAAGATAGAAGAAGTTGTTAAAGATAAAGAAGCGAGTCTTCGAGAAGTTGTCGCAAAATTGTTTTTGACTGGAAAACAAGGTTTCAAGAAATGCAACTGCCCAAAAAAATGCGTAAAGAAGTGCGCTTGCAAGTCATCAGGATTACTTTGTAATTCTAAATGCCATGATAGCTCTCCATGTTGTAACAAGTAAAATCCTTTTTTTACTTTTATTAAATAACAATGAATACCAAATGATTAGAAAAAATACTGTGATTACTGATTAGCTTAGCCAACGTAGGCTATTATATTATTTTTGATAAGATAATTTAATTTTTTTTATGTTAAAAAAGTATTTTTAAACTGTTTCATTAGTTATTAATAAATAGGACTTAGTAAGTTGACTGTTTATAATAATTGCAATAAATGATTATTAAAATACTCATAGTTTTATTTCAAAACCAACATTTACTAACCGTCTTTAGTAAAACCTAGAATGTACCAGATTCTTCTAATGGTAAAATCCCGATAAATCATATTAGTTTATAAAAATCCTTACATTTACCAACTCATGTTAGTAAATCTGAAGATTTACAAGTAAAACCTAGGATTTACCAATATATGGGCTTTCACAGTAACAGATATACAACTTCTTTGTATGGTGTATGCCAAAAATGAGATAAACTGTTCATCTGTAACGAATTTGTTATTGATGAAATATTTCAAGGAACAAAATGCAATAAAAAAACATTTAAGCCTATATTTATGTGTAATAAATGTCTAATAATTTAAGCCACTTGTCTAAATAATGTACATGGCTAAGTGCCTGAAATTACTAAAGATAAGCATAGGCTCAACCTTCAGAAATTGAAGACGACCAGTTAAATTAACTGAAAATATGGATATTTTCTCTTATTTTTGACTAAGTTTTCCTCCTTTTACTAATTCAAAACTACACCCAGTGTAATAAGTCCTATTTATTAACAAGTTGTATTGTATGTGGATAATATATAAACAAAAACTGAAATATTTAAAGACATGGAGGCATAAATAATTTACTGAAAGCATTTCTTCATATGCAAATTACAAGCAAGAAATTAAAAATTTAGTTTCTCAAATAGAACTTCTATTTTCAAATTGGGAAACTCTTTAAATTAATAACATTGTAATTCGATGCAATGACGAGATTAATCCAAGTTTATTCAGATAGTTGAAATTGAATTGGTTCTATACTTCGAAATGAAGTAAATAACATAATCTATCAAGAAATTTCTCCAATTGATGACATTTAAATTATAATTTGTGTTTCAAATAAGTTTTTTATGCTAACTGTTGGTTGTTTGCCACGTAATAAATTACAAAACTTGTTTCTTAGCATTAATTATATAAAGGTACTTACATCACATTCATAAATGTCATTTTCAGGCCTGAAAATGACATTTATGAATTTCCTTCCACCAAAAATTTTGATGTTCTCTGTTACTCATGTTCTAATTTTTTGGTGGATATGTGTAGAGAGGACGTCGTGGTAATCTGTTCATCTGTAACAAATTTGATATTGATTAAATATTTCAAGGAATGAAATGCAATAAAAATATATATATATATATATACTATCGATTATCTGTGACTTCGCCCGTGGGGATTTTGCAAGCAAACCCATTTATATTCAGTATTTCAACAACCATAGTAATTTGTTATATAACACCTACCTCTGAGAATAATGAGAATTGCTGAGAATCAAAGGAATTATTTTCAATTTGATCAATTTTCTGGAATATTTGCAATCATTCTATATTCAAACCAATATGCAAAATCAACAAATTCGAATTTAAAACGGTTCAAACATTTGGTTAAAAATTTGAAATATAATAAAATATTTATAACAATGTATGAAATGTTATCAGTTTAATACATCTAAGTACTCAATGAAGACTAAACATAGTTGAAAACAAAAAGTCACATCTAAAATAGTACAGTAGAAGCTGTTCTTCCGATTAAGCCTTAACGCTCTCCCTCTCCCCCATGGGAAAATTTCAAAAAATTTCTTCTTAGCGTGCATTTCCATGACGTACCCTGTGTACCAAATTTCACCTCTTCAGGTTCATCGGTTTACCCTGGGCGATGATGGATCAGTCACCCAGTCAGGACAAGTAATTTTATATATTTATATATTTCTCACCACAGCTCCCAGTACGGCGCCAAATTGCCTTCTATGAGTAAAACAGAAGCAGGAAGAAAAGAAGGCGTAAAGTATTGGTATTGGTCCATCTGTCCAATGGAACTGCACATAGGATTCATGGACCTCAATTCTAACTGGTAAGTGTTCACGTTTCTCTTGTGTGGCACCCTGAAGACAAAACAAAGGATTGACTATTTGGAAACCAAGAAATGGTTAAGAAGAAAACACCTTTTTTCCTAGGTATCGAATCACATGTGTAAAAATTACTGCTGCTATTCCACATATTGAACAATAACATACTCAACAAAACTAACAAATTATTATTATTCAATAATATGAAAAATTTGATTATTATTAACAGAGATTATTTTTATTAAATGATGCAAAAATTGCAAAAGATAATAATAATAAGGCATAATAAAAATATTTTAAAGTTAATTTACCAAAATGGCATCAAAATTGATCATTTTCGTAAAGGAATTTATGTATAGGACAGCTAAAGTCTTCCATGTACCTGGATGTAGACTTGTGAAGCCCACTAGATTTGAAAATTTGCAAAATATATAAACAATTGTCGGGATGTTTATAGTATGTAAATGTATCAGAGTTTCCATCTTGTTAATCAAATCAGTTTGGTTTATTTGGTTATGGCAATGCAACACGTGGGCGATCTTCCAAGGGGGAGTACTTTCCGGTAGGACTTTTCACGAGAAACTGGCCCCTATTTTGGTGTTACGAACATGAAGGAAACCCAGAAAACTTTTATGTGTCCAGCCCGTTGGCAAGGCGCAAACCCACAACCAATTATTAGTGTTCAGTGGTTTTATCCACTCGACCGTGACTTTTATACACTCGACGTACTGCTAGAGAGAATTATATACACTGATTTAAGACCTTTGTATATACTGGATCATACTATGCTGCATACTTCTGTTAGTAACATTCCAGTCATTAATAATAAAATGGAGTGCAAAATGTCTTTTGCAAAGAAAATTTGTTGATTTTTTAAAGTTATTTTCTCTGAGAATTCGCCGACACTTCAGTTATAATTTTAAATCTTTAATTCGTTTAAATCAGTGTTTCTCAACAGGGGCGATATCGCCCCCATGTGGGCATTTTTCCATGTTGAGGGGATGATTAGTAGCAATTTATATTTTGGGGGTCGAAAAACAATTTTCTGGGTGATATAGTAAAACATTATTGTCAGGATAAAACTGTCCGACATACGATTTCCTGCGCTTAACTAAGCACTAAGAACTAAGCATATTTTTCATGTCTTAATTATATCTTTCTACTGAACCCTGACTATGAGTGCCTGGGCTTTCCATGCACCATTTTTTAACTCTGGTCACATACTACACATTTCTTTGATGATATTATTGGCAAATTCTCTGCCGCTTTCACTTTGTAGAATACTTGGTGCACCGAAAATTGTAAAAATGTCTAAAAGAACACGGGCTACATCTTCAGCCCTTTTGGTTTTTAATGGTTGTAGTTGAACGAATTTTTTACGATTTTGGTACATGCATATATATTTATATTGCTAATCAGCTTGCATATGATCGACCCAACATCTTGAGTTCATTTCATTACTTAAAATTGGTTTAACTACCAAACCTTTCTTAGTAACATTCTTTTTTTTTTCTGAGAAATTTCACATAAATTCAAGTAAATTATAATCATTTCCCTTGTAATATTTTTATATTTCGTACTTAATTCTTTTTCCATATGGTTTCTACCTCCATAGCCAATAGCAATATGGGCATCATGAAACATCTGAAATATTTCTTCAGTGTGAACATAATATTTAATCATATTACCTTCTTTTACAGGTATAATTAATTTTTCTATTTCTCCAATAGATGCGACATCATATGTACGTAAACGCTGATATTCTTCACTTTCGAAGTCAATTTTATTTTTGAATCTTTCACTTTTTGTATCATAGTCAAATATGCCAATTTTGTAAAAATTATACTGTTCTGACCTTTTTCTGCTATTAAGCTGAACTGCTGACTCTTTCATGTTAAGGTTAGCATTACCTGTAATCATGTAAAAATTCATAGATAAATATAATGGTAATTTCGTAATTTTTACCGTAAATTTGGTAAAAAGTAAATTTTTTCAAGTCAAATACAATATACATATGCACATTCATGCATTTATATTACTTATTGTATGAACGTTCATGCATTTTATCAAATATATATTTTTTCAATATATTTAAAAACTGATTTTGCCATCGCCAGAGGGAAGATTTTAATGTTTCATTGGTGGAGAAGCCTCTGAACAAGCTACAAGCTACATATATAAGACAGTCCAGAAACTATCAAAGATAAGAAGTGTTCCTTTTGACAAATCTTCCCCCCCTCAAAATTGCTCAAAGTTTTGCCTTCTTATATTACATCTTGTAACAAAAACTATTATTTTC